GGATACAGTGCGTGGAGGAGAGGAAGCGCCACTCAGTCCTGACGCCTGCTCAGTGATTCTCTCCCTTTGTTTTCCAGATTAATAAGAAATATTATTCTTTAAAATACCAAGAAATTGGGCTCGGGTTCTTGGCTACCATCATCAGTCTCCCTGCCTGATAAGGCCACTAACTTGAGACACGTTGGCTGGACCCATGGCTTCCAGGGATTCTAGCCTGATTGTTCTGGACCCTTGGAGTTACTTTCCTCCACAGAGGATGCACCAGGAAAGTAGGTTTCTCTGCAGACTCTGCATGACCAGTTTTCCAGGGAAAGAGAGGATGTGCTGTAAAAGCAAGAATTGGCGATGCCCAGAGGGCCACAGGACATTGAGGGCACGACCAGCCCTCCTTCTCCTATTCTCCAGACCTCACTGCCTTCAGCCCAGCTGGTCTGTTCCGAGGGTAGAGGAGCTTGGGGTTGAGGCTCAGCCTCAGGGCTCCTAATGGACGTTCCTGCCTCCAGCGATCCAAAGGGGATCCAAGGCAGGTGGATTTCTCCTGGCTGTGCATCACAGGGCTGAGGTGTGGGGGCTCCTCTGTGCCACTAACAACACACCCCATCGGGTGCCACCTGGAGGAAGGGGTTGTTTTGTTTGGCACGTGTGACATCTCATCCTGGGCTTTCATGCAGGGCTATGGATTTCCAGAATCCAGCCCACAGTGGAGCTCCTCACTGCTAGCCTGAGGCCACCAGGCCACCATCCAGCCCTAGCCTCTCACAGTGAAAGAGTGAGGGGGCTTTGCACAAGTTGGGTTGGAGTGGGCACTGGTTCTGTGGAACTCAGGCAACCCTGGACCTCCTTCTCCAAGTTCCCACGTGCTGGCTGCCTCTCAGCCTGGGGTCTGACTGGCCCAGGCCTGTCTTTCACCTGCTCCCCTGCACCTTCCTTCTTATTTAGGGGCTGTTTGGGAGTTAATCCCTGTGTTCATTAAGTGACCCCTCCTCCCGCCCCTCTGCTTTCATTAGAGACAAGAGAGCTAATTACCAGCCCTTCTGAGGCTCCACTACAGGCCATTTTAGAGCTGACGCAGCCCTTAAAATGATTTAAAAATCCCATTTCCCTGCAATGAAATGGGCTACCCTTCCCTCCCCATTAAGGCTAATTACTACACTCTTCCCATCTGAGGAGGGACTCTGCTCTTGTCCTCCTACCCAGCCCTGCCTCAGGCAGAGGCTCCTCACAGAAGCCTTTCCAGGCTGCTGGGAAGGGAGGCATTGGAAGCATCAAAGCCTCTTCTCCTTCCAGGAAGATGTCCCAGTGAATTCAGGAAGGCTGAGATTGGGCAGGATGGGCCCAGGCTGGCAGGATTGGACAGAAAGAAGGCGTTGAAGAGGAAGGGCAAAGGCAAAATGAGTCCTGGATGGTGGCCACCAGGCTCTCTTGGGCCTCAATACTGCAAAACTCCTCCGGCCAAGTCCAAGGTTTGAACAGGCCCATGGCAGGGGGAACCAGGTCAGGCCTGCAGAACTCGCTGGAGCTCTCCGTGGTCCTGGAATTTCTGAGCCTCAGCCCACAATCAGAAGCACAGAGTGGAAGGGGTGGAGGAAGCTACCTCCAAGTATTATGATGTGGCCTTCACCTGGAAAACAGCTCACTACCTCCATGAGCAGCTCAATTATATGAAAGGAGGTCCCTGCTCAGGCCTCTCTGACTCTGGGAAATGATGCCAACACTGCCCTTCATTGTGACCTTGTCCTCTTCCCCTCTGCCCTCTGTCTGGGCCTGCAAGGTAGAAAACCCAAACTAAAAAATCAGACTATATAAAAAAGAGTGATCTCAATTTCAGTATATATGTAAGTTTGTTTCATTTCAAAAGCATAATTTTATTTTGCAATTTAGTTTTTATATTTATTTTAAATTACATAGGGAGATGCCCTAACATTTTTTTCTTTAACTTAGAGCCTCTAACCTAGGCTCTTGACTCCATCTGGCTCTGCTCCTCTGTATTTATTGGGTGCTGTGCTACATAATCCTAGACATCCCTCCGCCTCCCACATTCTGGGGTCCCCTGAGTCCCCTCCCAAAGGACAAATGGTGGTAGGCTATCACCGCATGCCCTTGTCTCAGACCCACTAGCAGTAGATGCACACCAAAGTTTAGCTCATAACCAATGGGCTAATGAATAGATAACCATAACCAATAGATCCACACCAATGTTTAGCCCTGTTGAAGTAGGAATATAAGAAAAAAGTGGCATGATCTGTCCTCTTGTGGACCCCAAGGCCTCTGCAGTGCAAGCCCTGGGCCCTCGTCAGGACAAGTAGGGTCAGACTCTACCTTCCACCACCAGCTTTGTCACTGGTGAACATCGCCACCAGCAGTGCTTTGAAGAATTAGGCATGAAGAATGAACCATGTTCCTATCTCCCCTTCCTACACTCTACTGGTCCTGTACACCTTCCACTTTTACCTTGTAATCTTTGCAGAGAAACAGGCAAAGACTAAAAAAACTCCATACAGAGGAAAGGGCACAGATTCCAGAGTCCCACAATAGATGTAAGTTCCAGGCTCCTGACCCCATTTGGATGGTGACCAGATCCCCAATACACTTCTGGTTGCCTTTATTCCCTAGGGAAGGCTCATATTTCCACCTACCCCCCACTGCTCATCAGTAACCCTTTTTTACAGTAAAATAATACCCTTGGACCTGAAGAGACTTTAGAGGGAGCATAACAAAGTCCCCTTGTTCTCCACGGGCAGTTTATATTCCTGAGGTCACAGATATGTACTCTCTGGGAACATACCCACCCAACATTGTCATTGACAACTACCATAACAGAAATGCTTCTGCTGATTAAAGCCCTGTCACCTCCACTGCTGTACTGTGTTTCATAACCTCCCTGGGAGTGCACAGGTTAATATTCCCACTTTACAGGTGAGGAAATAAAATATATTGTAATGTAGCCAGGTGGTATGGAGGAGAGAATAAAAGTCAGCTCTTCTGCATCTTGGGACATGGTACCTCCTCTGTGGTACCTCAGATATACACCGCTAATATAAGCAATACATGGTGAGAATGAATGAATGAGTACCATGTTGTGAGAACTCTGAAGAGGGGATGGTCCATGTGGCACAAAATACCTGAGAGGAGGTAGATACTGAACTGCTTCTTGCAGAAAGAATAGCTAGAGATATGAGAGAAGGCCTTACAGGTACAGGGGGGTCTGGAATCTTGACTGGTTGAAACAGAAGAGGGGCCACTGGGAAGTGGCATGTGTTTAGAGTTGAAGTGGGGCACAGGAAATTGGAAGCTGAGCAGAAGAGTTTACACATTTATGTGTGAGGCAATGGAGAGCTGTCATAGGTTCCTGAGCAGGGCATGGCACACCAGTCCTTTGTTTTTTAAGTCATGAGTCCCATGGACACTTTCAATATGTTCTTTCCTGCAGTCACACAGAGAACCTCACTGGGCATCATTTGTCAAAGCTCTACGCTAATAAGAGTGGAGTGATAGTCTGCAGTGGAGCAAGAGTACTGAGGAAGAAGGCTTTTGGTGGGTCAGGTTGGGACCCAGGCTTATTCAAGCTGGGTCTAGGATTGATCTGGGAGCAGATGTAGAGAAAGGGCACTTCAGGCTGAGGCAAAAGCAAGGGCAAGGGCCTTGGTGTGGGACAGTGCTCATGGAGCTCTAGGAGGAGCAGGTGGCCAGGTGTGCTGGGGGGGGGGGGGGCTGCTAGAAGTAGGGAAGGAGGCTAGAAGTAAAGGGGTGCACGTTATGGAGATACTAAATTGTCCCTGTCTTGGGGAACAGGGCACAGATTGGGGTCAGGGGGTGCCCTTTACTTGGGAGGATTCCAAGGCCTGATAGACCAGAAGGGTTCAGCAGGTGGCAGAGTTCAGCAAAATGTGGTGACATTTTTAAATGCCACCTCTGCTGAGGGGTAGTAACACTAATTGCAAGTAGAGATGACCACTTTCTTGGCTAAAAATTGAGCATGACATGGCCTGTGGCTGGTCACTAGGCTACCATTATTGGCGCTCTTTGCGGGAGGTTCTTCAAACAGCTGAGTAGCACCAAGACAAACACAGTTTTCCATCACAAGCATGGATGAGGTCATGACATAATTTATCAAAAGTCTAGATACTGCAATGCATCCCTGATAGCTGTCTAGCGACCTAGGTAGAAAAAAGTAAGGTTGGTGTAATTCATCCCTCCATCCCCCTTTCTCTCTATCCACTGTATGTTGAGCATCTGATGCAGTGTAAGACAAAGCAGACCCAAAAGAAATGAAGCAAAGTCCCTGCCCTCGAGAACTCTCACAGGAAGGAGAGGAGTCAGGAGCCAGCCGGGGAAAAAGTCACAACTGAATGTGGTTGGAATCATGGCAGAGCTTCAGAAAGAAGGGAGAGAGGTGACTAACTCAGCCTGGGAGATGGGAAAGTTTCCGAAGAAAGGAGCTTGAACTCTCGAACAAAGGAGGATGGGCATAGTGGGCAGTGGGTGAAGGCCCAGAAATGGGAGAGAGCTGGGCTGGCATGCAAGGTGGCCCAGAGCTCCGTGTGTCTGCAACAGGAAGGCAGAAGCCCCGGAGGAGAGTGACAAGGCTGCTGGAAGGGGTTCTCAAGCTGGGCTAGGAGATGGCCTTTATGCTCGAGGCAACAGGGAAATGTCAGAGCTTTGCAAGTGGAACAAGGACATGATCAGATCTATCAGATCTGCACTCTTTGAAAGATCACTCTTTCAAAGTGATAGAAAAGGTGAATCGGAGGGAGCAGGTGCCAGGGGTGGGGACACCTGCAGTTTCAATTGCCCAGGTGAGAAATGAGTTTTGCATGACTTGCTCTTCATGAGCCCCTGCTAGGCCTTTTTATTTTTATATCCATTCAGAAAACATATACTAGAACCCTCCTGGCGATGCAGAGGTGAAATGCTCCACCCTGGCATAGCTTCCAAGGTCTGCTTTACCCCTTTGCAGAAAACCTAGCCTCCCAGATCTCCTCCCAAGGAATTATACTCACGCTCAGCTCCCAGCGCATCTTCAAGAATGGAGAATAAAATGCCTGAAGGAAAGGTGTTCACATTGGGCAAACAACTTCTTATGAGTTGAGATGGACTGTGGCCACCTCTTCAGCCCCATTACCAGGAAAGACATTTGGGGCTCAAAGAGAAACGAATTGAGAGTGGTGCCAATATCCCAAGTGACTCAGGTGGGGGCATTTTCTGTGAAGAGGATCCTGTGAAAGCAGGATCAGAAATGAGTCAAATACTTCCTTAGCACAGTAACTCCAGGTCATAGTTATTGGAGGGAAATGAAAAATTGGGTTACCAGAGGAATATGCATTTCTCTGGTAAGAATCAGCTTTGTTGCAGTGGTGAGTTTCTCTTAGGCAAATCCAGGAGGAAGCAATGCATGTCTGGTTGAGAGACTGACCTAGAGCCTAAGTCTGACCATCTTCCTCTCTCTCATGGAAACAAGGGAGCTTGTCCCTGAGACACTCTCTGTGGTGAATGGTTGGCTCCCAACCTCCATTCCACAATCAGTCTAAATCAGGGGTACCCGGCACCTATTATTGGTCCAGTGTGTGTAGGTATCCAAGTTGTCATGATCAGACTAAGAACTTATATTCCATGACTGGAGGAGAGGTTTTCTATCTTTGTTTTTGCTTATGAATAAGGAAACAGGTAGCCCTGTTTGCCACTGGAAGCATCTTATGACTACAAAGGAAATCAGCCTTAGAATGAAGGTGACACCAAGGAAGAAAGAATTGAGGAATGGGAACACCTGTGTCCTTGATGGCTTCATAAAGCTATCTGGTAGTACACATGGGGGCCCACGCTACTTCTGATGTCTTTATTCTTCAAGTCCCTTTGAGTCAGGAGTTTCTGTTATTTGAAGCTCAAAGCATTTTACTAATACATCCTCCAAAGGACTCCAAAGGTGAAGTCTTGCACCCCTTTGGTGTGGTACAAGGAAAATTGTTGGCTGCATAAAATCTCATGAAATGGTCTTCCAACTTTCTATATTCATCTGGGGTGCTTAGCTGAACCCCTCCACGGAAGAACTGGTTGCACCTCCATCCACTGGGGTTGAGCATGTGTTAGACCTGGGGAAGACAGGCAGGGTGGCATTCAGAGAAGGGGCAGGACCTTCTCCTTCACCCGCAGCTGGGGCTCTTGGCCTGCCTCTGAGTATCACCGCCCAGAAAGGATTTCAGACCATGGACAGATCCCCAGGCCTAAGAGTCCAAGGGCCAATTTCCTGATTTTCTTCTCAAGAGAATATCAACAGACCATGCACTTGCCTCACCTGAGGGCTGGAAAGGAGGGCCTTGCACTGCAGGTGAGGGGTACCTAGTTTCTCCATATGCATCAATGAATTCAATCTCATCCGCTGCTGCATCTTCACCCACTCCCTGACCCTGTTGCTCGAGGAGAGGAGCCACGTACAAGCAGGTAGTAACTGAGAGTTCCACTGTGCATGGGCCAGAGGCAAGCTGAGGCCCAAGGGCAGTGCCCCAAGGGGTCAACTGGCAGGCAGGCAAAAGCTGGAAACCACTATTCTCTCAGGCTGAGCTATCAGCTAGGATGGGCTCCTGAAAGCCAGCCACGAAGGCAGTGTGTGCAGTGCAGCCTGCCCTGGCTCCAAGGCGTGGCCTGGCTGGGGCTGTAGGAACCTGCCTTCCCTGCCTTGGGCACATAAAGGGTTTCGGATGCTCTATGCTGGTCTCTTTGATATCTAGCTTTGCCCACTGAAAAGCCCTTCGCCTCAATGCTCTGTCCCCTGTGACTCTTGCTCCATCTCCACTTTGCCTCTCCTTCTCCCTCTCTCCTTCCCTCCCTCCTAGGCTCTGTGTAGCTAACATACTTTTCCTCCAGTATATCCGAGTCACCCTGTGTAAGACAGTTGGGCTCAATGGAGAGGCTGCCACAGGGCCTTGGCTGGCCCAGGGCTGAGGCTCCCTATCCCACACTCCCCTTTCTTAGAAAGGACATGAGTACATGGATGCTCACAGATGGTCCTGCCTACAGGAGAAACAGGAGCTTACCTCTGTGATCTGGGGGGCTCCCCCAGACCCCAGAATTTCCCTCAACCCATCTGCCCAGATCCCCCAATTTTACCATCATTAGTTAAGCCATTGGGAGCCCCCCTTCCCCCATGTACCAACTGATACCAAGTGTCAGGCTTGCACTTTTCTTCTGAAGGGTCCTGATTACCAGAGGAGACGGAGTGTTGGGGGAATGTGGTCTGCCACATACACAAGACTTTGGTTAAGTCTCATGTTTTGTCTTAAAAGTCCACATGCATCTTTGTATTCTAGTTTATAATACATCTTTTCTGAAGTATGCTTTTAATTTAAATATAACATAAAAGTGGTGAAATCATAAATGTTCAGCTCAACGACTTTTCAAAATGAGCACACCTATGTCAACAGCACCCACACAAAGAAAAAGAATGTTATCAGCACCCCAAGAGCCCCAGTACCCCTTCTGACCACTACGGCCTCCCCCCAGGACTGTCCTGCCAGTCCATAATATATGCTTCTCAAAACATATGTTTTGAATTCCTTTCTACTTAAACTGTTGCTTGAAGAAGCCCATGTTTATCCTGTGGCACTGACTCACCCCAGCACTGCACTGGGTACCCCTGACGGGGAAGCGCAAACCCCTTTCTTGCTCAGTCTTCCCAACAACTCCATGGAATGAGGACTAGCATTATTATTATTATCAATCACTTGACAGCTAAGAAATTGATGGTCAAGTTAAAAAACTAATGTTCAGAGACTTGTGACTTGCCCAAGGCCACCGAGCCTGAGTCAGGGATGTGAGACTCTGCCAGGATGCCTGCAGCTCCGTCAGAGGTGGCATCCCGGGGGGACAGGGGTTTGCTCGCTGGAGCCTGAGTTGTTCCATCTGATGAAACAATTCCTGTTGAGAGCCTTGAAAACATCATATTAAGGAAGTACGGGGGAAGGGGGAGGGGGTTTAAGCAATACCAACTCCCAGAACTTGGCCATGGGAATGTGGGCAGGATTCCAGGCAGCCCGACTGACGTGGCCAGTGGGTGCCCCCTCCAGAGAACCAGGTTCCTAATAGGGGGTCCCTTAGTTCTCGGAGCCCAGTATGACTTTTGCCTTCTCAGATCTCTGACCAAACATTCAGTGGACCTTTCATAGGGGCAGAGGAGAACAGGGCATGGCCCTGTCCCCTTAGTGTGGCTGGGTGACCTTGGGCAGGTCTCTTCCCCTCTCTGAGCCGACTCCTCTTTATAAAATAAAAAACTGGAAGGAATTTCCCAAAAGGACCCAATATGGCTTGCGGCCCCCAGGGAAGCCAGCAGGAGGTGCTCTGCTGGCACTGGAGTTTCCTGACCGGGTCAATTCCTAGAACAGGGCTCAAATGATCTGGAAGGTTAGAATCAGGTCTGTGCAGCTTCACTGGCCTCTTGGCTGGAGGCCTCTCTCTCCACCCCTAACTCCCTGAGGAAGGCTCCAGCTGTCGACTCACTGGGATCAGAGAGGGGTCCCTGGGCAGATTCTGGGGAGGATCAGGCCAAATTCTTCCAAAATTCAGAGGATTGGAGAAGATGATCTTTTTGGCTCCTTTTGAAAACAATGAGTCTGATCTTGGAGGGTAGGAGGTGTTGTGGAGGGGCATGACCCCTTGCTAAGAATCTTATCGCTGACCAGGCTGCATTATCAGAGTATAGTGTCTCAAATGTGGCAGGCAATGGGCTCACTCTGCTCTGTCCTGACAAGGCCACCTCTGGGCTTTGGACTCAGGAATAAAGCCCAGGATGGCAGAGAGGAGTGAGACCTTGTTGGATGGTGAGCATCTGCAGCAACTGAGCTTGCTGACCCTGCAGGAGGGCAGCCTCAGGGCCACAGTTTTCCTGACTATGGAGTAGGGTGGTCAAAACTGGGGGCTCGGGGGTCTAGCAAAGTGGGGTTTGGTGTCTGGTGCTGTTACCTTCATTAGTGACCTTGCCTAGGTTGCATCACATGTCTGTGCCTCAAAATCCCACCTACCTCACAGGGATATTAGGAAGACTAAATGAGGTGATGCATGACAGGCACCTAGTGCTGTGTGTGGCACACAGTAGTTCCTCAGTTAATATCAGATACTACTATGATCATTACTCTTATTAGCTGAATGCCTGTCATGGGGAGAGGGAGACTCTGGAGGGAGGGTCTAGGGAGGAGTTTGCAGACTCGATATAAGGCCAACTCTTCTCATTATTAAAGTTGCCTCAGTGGTCGTGAGCTTCCCTTCCTGGAGGTGTTCAAACAGAAGCTGAAGGAGCCCCCACACTCCCACTCCAACTCTAAGGGCCACCTCCAGCTCTTAGCCAGAATTTTGGGGTCTCTTACACTTTTGTACCCAGTGGGGATGGCCATGACAGTCTGTCAGTCTGTCCGCTGGGACTTTATTCCAGTCCAGAGGACAGGAATTGGGCAGATGGCATGGCTGCAGCCAGTGTCTGCAGAGAAGGATGCAAGAACTCCTTCCTGACTCATCTCTGTGCTCAGAAAAGCCTTCAGAATTCCTCTTTCGGCACACAAGCAGCAGGATAGGGCCAGGGATGAGGGCAGGAAGACGTGGCTTAATAAAAAATCCCAATAAAGTTCTGCAGCCCCTGGAGGCCAGGGGCAGGTCCTGGGCACAAACCTTCCTTAGACCCGCCCACCAGGGGCCCTGACTAATATTCCTGGAGCCTTTGCCTGCCCCTCGCTTCATTAACAATGCTGAAGGGGCTGAGAGGTCCAAGGGGGCTCCCCAATGCCGCCTGATAATATTGCTGAGCTGCCCAAGCCAGCCCCACCCCAGCACACATAACCCTCCTATTTCAGACCCTGTGCTGAGGAATGGGTTTGATTCGATCAGCCATTTGCCTGTGGGACCTTCCAGGTCAACTTATTATGGGCAGATGCCAGCTCCAGGGAGCCAGGCAGCCCTGGTGTGGAATTCTGAGCAAAGACTTATTAAAGTGCAGCAGAGAGGTGCTGCGATGGGTTTCTGTTCCTCCAAAGCAACCAGACCCAGGGTAGGCTCCAGCTAGGGGAGGCCAGGCTGGGGGCTGGGGTAGATAAGGGCAGGAACCAAGGCCAAACTCACAGAGGGTGCTGCCCTGCTGGTCAGAGCTGGCCCCCCTCCACTGGGAGCTCTGGGTGCCACAAGCTCAGGCCTTGTTCCCTCTGCCTACCCTCTACTATAACGCATAACGCTTTAAGGAGTTTGGGCTGAGTAAAGCTAAGTGTGGCTAGTTTGAAGACAGCTGGACAAAGGCCTGGTGCAGACCGCCCCGGAGTGCCTCGGCCCCCAGCTGCCCACAAAAGGAAGGGAAAGGAGTGCGGACGTTGCAGTTCAGCTTAAAAAACAAACCTGTGAAACAGAGCCAGCCCCACTCCCTCCCCCTCGCTCCAGCATTAGCAGGAGGGGCTGAAAACATTTGTTCAGAGAGAGAGAGGGGGAAAAAAACCCTAAGTGCTTCTGCTTCCTTTTTTTTGCCAAATCATGCAGAAGATGCTGGCAGCTGCAAAGATTCAATTATGCACAATGCGAAAAATCATTTACAAAAATAATGGCACTCGAAAAAAATGGCCTCTCCAGAAATGGCGTGGAACAATAAATCCGTTAATTAGCTAATTAATATTCAATTGGGGTCAGTGGGCTTAATAGAACCTTTCTTGGAGACCCAAGAAATTCTAAACTGCCGTGAGGCGCCTGCCCACTGCCATTATCTCAGGCGAGCAGGCCCTTATCGGGCCGCCAGCTGTCCCCGAACAATGCAGGCCCTTATCAGCTGGGGCAGCAGCCCTGGCCGCTCACTCGGGCTCCCTCCGCCCAGAGAAGCACACAGCCTCTTGGTAATTGATATATGGTGCAGCATTGTCTGGGGCTGTTTGCTCTGCTGGTATTTAAGGCAGCGCGGGCCCCCTGATTGATTGCCATTGGCCAAGTTTCTGCCATCAATGACGACCTGTCAATGAGGGACGAGCCAATGGAAGCAGCTACCACTCTTGATGCCCTGGTCATCTGGGCCAGGCTGGAGGCTCGACACGTGGCAACATGGCCCACTTGAGTTTGGCTTGAGTTTTGTAGCCCTTCTCAAGTGGGAACTTGAGCCCTCAAGACAGCATCCCCTGCCTTGCTTTGCAGAGAGCACAGACCAGATCCTTGCTACTCTAAGTGGTCCAGGACTTGCAGCATCCATTACCTGGGAGCTTTTTAGAAACACAGATTTTTGGGCCCCACCTCAGATCTCCTGAATCTGAATCTCTGAGGATAGGGTCCAAGAATCTATGTTTTATCAAGCTCTCTAGATGATTCTGATGCATGCTAAAGTCCAAGAAGCAGTTGTCAAGATTAGCGTTCCCACCTCTAGCTGTGTCTTAGAATCACTTGGGATGGGGGAGAATTAAATATACAAATTCCTGGGTCGTGCAGTGTAGAGTCACTTTCCTTCACTCACTGAAGTGTGCGCCCTGAGTTCTGGTGGGTTCAAGGCACTCTGAGAACATTAGGACCTGTCAGCAAAGAATCAGGGAAACAGACTGCCATGGTCATGGCCCACTGGGGGTCCTGTCCAGTGTGGAACAAGGCTGCACATGTCCAAGAGTGTAGATAAGCTCTGGCTATACAGGATTTGGGCTCCAGAAACCCATTGGGGAACCATTAGGTATTCAGAATGCATTTTGTACAGAAACGATTTTCCACATGGAAGGAAGCGTCCTGGGCTAGCCCCCAGATACAGTGAGACCCATAGTGAAGCAGAGTCAGCACATCTCCTTAGCAAGAAGGGCCATGGATGGGGACGGGAAGACAAGGAAGTAGAGAAAGTCACGGAAGAAGAAGAAGGATGGAGAACTTATCTTTTCTCTTCCCAGGGCTCACGACACAGAGTCAGGTCTTGGCTACTTTCTGAGTGGGTGAAGTTTCTCCAGCGTCCCGCATTCCCATTCTGCCCCATCTCCTCTCTTCACTCTGCTGGCCCATCCTCTGTCATTGCACCCCCCCAGGCCTGCCCTGGCATGTAGGGCTCAGAGTCTCATAGTTCTGCCTTCTCTTTGCCTTCCCCAAGCACAGACCCACATGCCCAGACTTGCAAGCACTCAGGGCAGCTTTGTGGTGTCTCCCACGTGAGAGAGTAAGCCTGAGTCACTGAGGCAGAAGGGCTGTGGGGGGACCTGGACTTGGAGCCACCCCAGGATGAGGAAGTAAGGAGAGTCCCTCACCCTGATCACATGCACCCCACCTTCTCTCAGTGCTGTGTGGGAGTTAGCCACACATAGGAACCAGGAGACCATAGGCAGGGGCAAACACCAGGCACAACCCAGCTCAGGCTCAATGCTCCTGAACCCACTCAGCAGGGGAGGAATCTACAGATCATGGAGCTTGGCAATAGGAATTTAGGGCCATGCTCCTCTGATAGCCAGGGCCAGGTACAAGGAGGGTTGAGCATCAGCAGGCAACAGGGCTCCAGCCACAGGGGCTGGTGGGGCAAAGCTGGTCTAAGCAAAGGGTAGCTCTAAGCATAAGAAGATGGTGTCTGAGGCAGGTGACCCAGTGGGGCCTTGAGCCCCATAACAAGTTAGGATGAAGTGATCAGCCCTGGGGCCTGAGGCAGGGACCGGATGTGATACTGAGTGAACCAGAGTGATGCCTCCTGGGCCACATTGAGGCCAAAGCTGGGGTCAAGTGGCTCAGGAGAGAGGAAAAAGGAAGCCCAGGGAAGCAGCAACTGGCTAATGTGAGCAGTTCCTTTGTCTCTAATGTGACTGAGCTACAAGGGCTCAATGTGCTCCTTCTCCCAGGTCATTTCTGTCTTGAGGAGCAGGGGCCCTCAGGGCCTTGACCTCTGTAGGAGGGTTAACAGGTATTTCTAGAGCTCCCAGGGTGCCTTGAGGAGGCTCAGCCACATGCTCCAACTGTGTGGGCTGTGAGTTGCCAGTACTCAGCATGGGAAGCAGCATGGTGGATGCTCTGGGTCCCAAACAAGGGATCCTTTCATCAGTGTCCTCCCTGGGGCTCTTGGTGCATGAAAAGGCTGTGGAGGAATATCAAAGGCAAGTATCCAACATCCGTCACTCTGCCAGGTCTAATAACAGCCATTCTGATGTGTTAACAAACCCTAATGATAAAAATAACCTTCTGTTAAATAAGCAAACCATTAACTTGAGAACCCACAGATTAGCTCAGGCCCTAACCTACCAAGTGAGCAATTAGCCTCTAAAGCTGCCCAGAACACCCAAAACAGTCCCTTCCTTTGCCCATGTGTGCTCACACACATCACTTTTGCCCTCCTGGGGTTCCCTGATCCTGCTGTAGGCAAGTCTGCTCCTTTGGACAATTTGAGTTTGGCCCATCTTGTCAGATCTTGGGATTGAGGCCAAAGGTGGGCTAGAGTTTTTGGTCCCACTCCTTTGGGAGTGAACATGTGACCCCAGGTTGGGTGTGTTGCCCTGCACAAGCCAGTACAAGAGCAAGGTACCCTAATTTTCCTCTCCCAGATAAAATCTGTTCTGGTTGTTTTAGGAGGCCACTGTATGCTGGCCTCCCTTGGAGAGGCTCCCACAGCCAGCTTTTGGTGGGAGAGAGAGAGAGCAAGAAAGAGAGAGAAAGTGACAGAACACTGACATGGGCAGAGGCATTGATAGTCTCAAGACACAGACTTGGGAGAGAAGCAGAGAGAGACCTCGAGAGAGCTGGCTGGTTGGTGTGAGAGTGAGGGAGCTCAAGGCATTGGTTGAATTATCTGGGACTCTCCTCTGGCTGCTACAGAGACTTCCTATATCTATGACGACAGGTACCAGGCTGGGAGCGATGGCGGGCTGGGACCCTGCAGGGGTCCTGACTCCAAATCTCTATTCTGATCTTGAGTATCTGATTTCCTGTGAGCCCAAAGTGGCTTCTTCCTTGAGCAGGGGAAGGGCTGAGCTTGCTCCCAATTCCCTTTGCCTCTTGTCCTCGAAACACACTCGAAACAGACTATTGGGTGTCTTGGACCAGTGTCCATCCTGACTTTATTGATGAGAAAACTGAATCTTAGGGTGCAACAGCTGCCCAACTACACACTGCACCCATGGAGTCAGTGTGGACCACACTCCAGGAACTGCCCCACCCCAACTCCCACTTCACCTTTAGCCATCTTCCTACTGCCCACTCCTCACTGCCTTCACCTGTCTCCATCACAGGGAGTCCAGGTCCCGCCACCAGAGGAAACAAAGTTTCTGCTCACCTGAACAGCAGCCACAGGAGCAGGAGGCCCTGAGTGCGCCTGCGGAGTTTGGAGTTCCTTCAACTTCACGACTAATTGCAGAGAGGCAGTGGGCGGGTTCTTGGCAAGCGATTAGCTGTCCCACTGCATGAATAATTTGCATAGAAAATGCTTTATTTTGGCAATCTATTAAAGGGCCCACAGTGCTGTGGCTTATCTCCGTCTCACAGCAAGGAGAAGCCTTGGCTATCTCGTTAAGTTCTGTTGATGCATAACAATTTGAAATGGGCACAAGCTAGTATGACATTTAAAGATGCCTTCACTTAATTATATTACACAAACATGGGGTTGTTTATCCTTGGGAATAAAGTCTTTTTGAAGTCAAAGTTGGCATGTGCATAAAGGAGGGCATTTTAACTGATTTTTTAAGAGGGGGCCTCCTCACTTCAAACTTGGGGGGTTGCATTTCCCTAGGGCCTCGTAACACAGAGGGTTCTACTGCCGAGATGCAGACTTTGAGATCGGTTCTCTTGTTCCTCTTCTCTGGGGGTGGCCTACAGTTTGGCACTTAATATAAAATTGTGGAAAGAAAAGCTTATTAGAGGAAGGAAAAGAGACTCGCTGTGTGACCTTGGGTGAGCCCCTCCCCTTCTCTGAGCCTCCATTACCTCATGTGCAACATGTGGGGTGGGACTTTCCTGCTCCAAGGCAATGACTGGCAAACCACAGGGGAGTTGTGCTTTCTCCTGCCTCTCTTCTTGTTCCCTCTGTAAATAAAAGTACAGCCTCTTTGTTAAGAGCCAAAGGGAATTCAGGGTCTGCATCACACTCTTTCTAAGGACTGGAAACATGCTGGAGAAGGGAGACGAGGAAACACAGGAAGGGGCTTGCAGCTGCAGCAGGTATTGGTACATTTTTGCTCTGCCAAGCCAGAAGGCCCCAGGAGACTACAGGTCTTGGAGCCTCACCTGACTTCCTTGAAAACTAGGAATTGGGCCCTGGCTGGAGGGAATGCAAGGAAAGCCGTACGGGCATTGAGAAAATCCCTGAAGCCCTGAGAAGCCTGCCTTGCCCACAAGGTGCTCATGGAAAAGCTGAGATGCTAGCTCTTCACCTCTGGGCATCGGAGCAGAGACCAGTGCTGCTGTGGGAAGAGCTCTGGACACAAGGTTAAGTGGGCTGGTTTCCAGCAGGGGAGAGCCTTTGATGTTTCCAGTGACAGTCCTGCCTGAGTAGGTCATACAACAGAAGAAGAGACAGAGAAAAGGAGGGCTTTGTCTAGGACCCTGGCCTCTAGGCTGTGTGTTCCTCCCAGATTCAAGCTTTCTGGAAAACAGACTCTCATCCCACCTCCCATTCCCCTCCTTTCCCCTCTAGGACTGAGGACAGCACGCTTCTCAGCTCATAGTCAACATGCTTCTGCCTCTGCCTCTTCCTAGCACTTAAAAAATATATTTGTGATTAATGGACAGATAAAAAATTATCTGTGATTAAAAATAGAGATAATTCCCATTCCATTATGGTTTTCTAGAAATAAAACTCTGTTAAAATAATTGAGAGAATATTAATAAGCATTAATAGTTAACTTTACATTTAACTGATGTGGACCACTTTGAATAAGATCTAAAGAAATGCCAACTCCTAGACACAATTAGGTAACTCCCTTGCTGGTTTTTAACTGTTATTAATCACTGCCTGCTCTAACATGATTGTCCCCCAGCCTCGAGTAAAATTAATCCACTGAGTACGTAAACCTTGAGTCAAAACCTTCCTGGTGGTGCTACAAAGAGCCTCATCTCCAAATTTCAGCACTAGACAAACAGTAGAGGTGAGATAACTCACTGTTAGGCAGGTACCACCTGGAAAATAAGAAGTGAAAGTACCAGGTACTGAGCAGTTGTCCTGTGCCAAGCCCTGTGCCAAGCACTTTGTTAGGTTGAACCACATGAAGTTGGTGTTTTTGTAGTTCAAAAATAGCCAAATGGTGGCTATTTCACATGGTCCAACCTAATATTATCTCATTTAATCCTTACCATACCCTTACCATTGTTATTATTCTTTCCATGTTACAAATTAGGAAAATGAGGCACAGAGAAATTCAATAATTTACTCATATTACAGAGCAAATAAGCGGGGCCAGGTGCTCTGACTCCATAGGCATCTAGCCCTGACCTTCTACCAAAATGTTCCCATAAGTATTTCACGTTTCAATCAGCAAACATGGTTAAACCGAACCTGGCACATATTGTGTTTATCAAATAAATTTAATGTTATTAATGTTTATTAAATAAACAGATGAATAGAGGGCTGATTACAGGGGTATCTGGGGCTCCAGCATCAGAATGGTGTACAGGAATGGGCTGGCTGGATATTGCTGAGCCATCAAACACTTGGCCTGAGGCTCCTCACATTCTCTTCTCCCAATCTGATTCCCCACACCAGGTTCATTTCCAGAGTCAAATACGAGGCCAGACAAGGCTTCAGGGCAGTGAGGGAAAAGGAGATAGACCCGGGAACTACATGGCTGTCAAGGCAGAGCACGAGGATAGGGGGTCATGTTGGAGAAACAGAGGAAGGAAAAGGAGGGTGAGCAGAACCATCATGCCATGAGCCACTGTGATTAGGTCAGGAGTGGCAGAGCCTCCCTGGATCTGGATTCCTCTCTCCAGATGAGCTGCAAAGAGACTGTAAAATGTCCACTAACATCAGAGAGTCCTCGTGACATATACATCACTCCCTGAGCCCTTGAGGTCTTTTCTCTCTGAGCCCCAGGTCTGTTTTCCAGGCTCAAGCCAAATCTGCTCTTTCCCAGCCACCTAAACTTCAGCCTCTTCTCTCCCCTTAACATTGCCCTGTGACAGTGCCCAGGGGACTGAGGTTGGGCATCCTCAATGGCCAGCTGTGGAGGGAAGGAAAGGCATGTGGATACTGGTATAGCAGCTCCAGAGCATGCCCCACAGTCCCAGGCATGGTATGAATCAGTGAGTTGGACTGTAGTTTACGTATTTATCAATTTTTGATCAAACATAACTAAGAAATTAAAAACTGTAAAATGACGTATAGATGCACAATAATTATAGCTACCCAACTGAATAGCTTGCAATAAAAAGAAATGGATGTAGTTAGCTTAATTGCTGCTTTTGGTTTCACAGTGAGCAGTATTTCCAAAAGAGAGTGATTGATTAACAGATGCTGACACTGTGCATTGCCCTCCTTTTGGGTAGCCAGCTACCTTGCACCCAGTGATGACAATAGCAGTCCATGGTGACAAGAGTACAGAGGAGGCCCTTGGTGAAGTTGGAGGCTTAAGATTCCAGGCTATTTCCTTGAGGCTAAGAGGTGTGTATGGATGGGTGCAAAAGGAGGAATAGCTACTCCCAGGAGAATAGCAGGTGACGGAGAGCCTCGCCTTCCCTGGGTCTAAAACCTCCAGATCTGTATCACTACTAAGGGTCTTCTGAAGAAAGAAATTCAGTTCCATTCAATGACTTACTCAGCATCAATGTACTGCCCTTACTGGGCCCTGGGGGACTGCAGAGAAGAATCACCCAAATGCTCTGCCCTCAAAGAGCTTGCATATTTTGCCTGGCTTGGATAAGATCAGATCAGATCTTATCTTATCTTGTATGCCACACTCAGTGTCATTACCATCACAGTTCTACCCCCATGCAGCATGTTTTATAATCTGTAAAGCTCTTTCTATTCATTAGCTTGTTTGATTTTGCAATGACCCTGTAAGGGCAGAGATAATGGGGTCTGATTTAGCTTGCCCCGTCTTGCCTTTGATAGGAACCCCTACATGACACCCAGACTCCCATGTCAGTCACAGGGCTGTGTCCCCTCCAGGCTAAACCCAAACAGATAATTGGTGTGGGCATTTCTTCAAAGTGGCTAACTAGGAGAGGAAGGAAAAGCTGAAGTTTGAGAACTGTTTAGATCAGAGCCAATAGACATGGAAAGGCTTCAATTTGTTATTGACAGAGAAGGACATCAAAGGAATTGCTATACGAAGGTTTCTGTTCTTTAGGATTTTCTGATAGGAGTGAAGTGGAGGGAGGTTAGAGGAGAGGGAATAAATTCTGAAATAGCTTCTTGGAAAGCAAGAGACAGAGGTACTGGGGACCAACAGACGGAAGGATGTGGAGTGTTGAGGGCCTGGCAGAAAGGACACCATAGTTTGTAGGATTCTGGTCCTGTGTTTAGGTGACTGTCCCCAGTAGCATTCAGCTCCCTCATGAAGAGAAGGAAAGAAAAATGCTTGGATTGACCCAGGATAGGCAGTTTACTAAAAAGGGGAGTGGGAAAACAGAGGCCAATGGAGTTGAGTGTGTTGACAGTGGTAAAAGCAACGGATCGATGGAGGGACTGAGAGCAACTAAAGCCAGGAGAAGACTGAAAGACTTCCAGGAAGACGAGGACTTCAGGAGCTGCCAGGTCCAATAAGGACCAAAACAGCAGAAGCGGGGGCAAGGAAGTGTGAATACACACAAAGTATGAGACTGTAGTCACAGGAGAATACTAGAGGATAAGGCTTTGCAGGTAAAGCAGTTTGGGTAAGGACAAGGTCAAGAGTGGGCATATAGAGAAGGGTTGATACAGTGGTGTGAGGGCGAGGAATGAAGTCATGTACAGATGGAGGAAGGAGACACTGAGAGGTCAGGTTGCTGAGTGAGCCTCTCACAGACATCGGAGCCTCTCATCCACTCTCTAATGATGGCTAAGAGTGTGTTCCAGGGGGCATAAGTCTCAGAGAGGCATTGACAACTATGAGAATTTCATATTATATCAATTTTAAGAGAAAAGATGGGGCTCTAAGTGAAAAAGATGTAGGAAAAGGTCTCCATCTAAGAACATTAGATTTGTATACAAAGCTTAGGAGCAGTACCATGTATTTCTGTCCTCAAGGGCTCCCTGGAACTATGCTTAGGTTCCCTCTCTGGTCACCTCTTTCCTGCCTGCAATGAAACCTCATGGTCAGAGTTGGTGGTGTGTGATAGGTTGCAAAAACGGCATAAATTATTCTTCTCCTATTTGCCCATTTGAAATGTGATTTGCAGCATCTCCCATCAAGAGTCTTTTTCCTAAGATGAAGTTTGCCACTTTTGACAACATGGATTGGATGGACCTTGAGGGTATTATGCTAAGCGAAATAAGTCAGATGGAAAAAGACATTTACCATATGACTTCACTCATATGTAGAGGATAAACAAACAAAAACACAGATATGGAGACCAGATTGGTGGTTACTGGAGGGGAGGGAAGTGGAGGGAGGGTGAAAGGGGTAAAGAGACACATACGTATGGTGATGGATGGTAGCTAGACTTGGAGGTGAACATGAGGTAGTCTATACAGAAGTCAAAATACAATGATATACACCTTAAATTGAGATATTGTTATAAACCAACATGACCTCAATAAAATAAATAAACAGAGTCCTTTTCCTACTCCTTGAATCTGGAGTGGTTTTATGACTTGTTGGCCAAAAGAATATAGCAGAAGAGACATTGTGCAAATTCTGAGCCTGGACCAAGAGGCCTTGCATGATTCCACTTGCTTTCTTTGAACTTTGAGCTGCCATGTCAACAAGTCCAGGCTACCTTACTAATTCATGAGAGACATGTAGTCCAGTTACCCCCATACCCCCTTTCACAGCCAGCCAACTTCCAGAAGCAGAACTGTCAGTCATGTGAGTGATGCTATCCTGGGTCATCCAGCCCCAAGCTGAGCCTCCAGCTGAAGGCAGAGACATGAAGAAGCTTAGCTTAGACCAATGAAACCAGGCTGAAATCAGGAGAACCACACAGCCAGCCCATGGACTCATGAGCAAAAAGAAGTGGCTGTTATTTTAAGCTACTAATCTGGAGGAGTGTCTTAGCTTGAACTGCTATAACAAAATACTACAGACTGGGTTGCTCAAACAACAAACACTTATTTCTCACAGCTCTGAAGGCTGGGAAGACCAAGATCAAGGTAGTGGCTGATCTGGTTCCTGATGAGAGCTTTCTTCCTGATTTGCAGATGGCTACCCTCTTGTTGTATCCTCATATGTCCAAAAGAGAAAGATCATCTCTCTCATGATTCTTCTTAAAAGGGCACTAATCTCATTCATGAAAACTCCATCCTCATGACCTAATTATCTCCCAAAGGCCCCACCTCCAAATGCCGTTACAGCGGGCACCAACATAGGAATTTAGAGATGATACAAACATTCAGTCCACAGCAGGGAGGGTTAGTTTGTTGTGCAGCAAAAACTAGCTGATATAGGGTGGAGCGGAGAAGAGAGAAGAAATGCACTGTCCTAGGTAATAAAAAGATTATGTGCTAATCATAGTATCTGATGTATCTCAGGGCCACTTCTGTTCTGCCTAAGGCACCCCCTTCTCCCTTCCTCTGGGCTGATGCAGCCTCACACAAAGCTGCATGGCTTGCCAAGGAGTGCGGATGGAATGACAGCTCCCACTCGCCCCTGAGCCAGGCACCCCTGTGCAGGGCACCACTTGCCAGCTATAAGCAGCCTCCTTCATGCCATCACAGTGTCTGAAATCGCCCTGTCTAGGCAGCAAGTGTCGTACTACGCAATCCCCCAATGCAGCCAACTGGACAAGAATCTGGTATGTGACAGGAGATGGCAAATCGGATTCCTGCTTTTGGAAATCTGGGTCAAACACAGAGGACAGACGGAGGGTGTGTGAAAGAGGAGAAGCGGACACACAGGGAATGCTCAGTCAGGTTAGTGACAGCACTGCAGTGAGGAACGTCAGTACCTGCCACTGAGGTCCTCCAGCTATGAGGGATCTGCGAGCAGCTTCCAGCCCAGGCTCTTGACTCCCTGCACTGTTCGGGTATGGCCCTGTCCTTGGGCTTTGGGAAGACTCAGATTTCCTGCTTATTGCCTTCCTTTCTTGGGGTGCTCTGCTCCTTGCACACAAAAGACCCCTGAGTAAAACAGAAGCTTATCCCCCAAGATGAAAGGCCTCACAGAGCCAAAGTCAGGCAAACCCCGCCACTGCCCATCTATTAACTTTCTTTACAGTCCAGCCCCAGTGCTCTGAGAATGGGATGGAAGTAGGCTGCTGTCCGCTTCTCTGGGCCCTGTTCTTCAGGGCACTATGGGGGACATAAAAAGTTGTGCCTAGGGAAGCGGCCAGGTCAGTGAGGCTGAGCTGTAGGGGCTAATGAGAACAGGCTCCGGAACTATGCAACTCACTCATGCTGCAGGGCCCAGGAGACAGGATGAAACAGATAGACAGGGGAGAGCTACCCAGAAGCAGCTTTAATCTGAGAGGTGGGGACAAGCTCCAAACACAGAGCTGGCTGCACAGGAGTCAGGTGGGGGTGGGGAGTGGTGTTCCCCGATGTTGGGGTGTCCTGAGGGCCTATGGTCCATCTGGACCCCACCCAGGACCACAGGAGCCTAAGCACCAGGCAGGGCAGGGTGGATCTGACCCTGGGAGAGAGAAGAGACCCGCCACCATTGGGCCCAGCACTCCTGGACAAGCCTCCCCTTAGCAGCTCACCAGGGTGGTTGGTGACTCTTCAGCAAGATAGAGGACCCCTTATCTCCTCATTCCCCTCTTTGACAAGAGGGTCAGTGGTCCTTCTCCTGCTCTCCAGCCTGCAAAATCGTGTGCTGGTGATCCCAGGAGCTGTTGCTTTGGTTCCCATACGCACACTGCCATCTGCTGGGAGGATGGAGGAGTGATCCAGAGGTCGCCCTGAGTTTGGGCCCATGCCAGAAGTCCCGCTGCCAGGAAAGCCCCTCTCTCCTGCTAGTCCCAGCTGGAAGGTTCCCAAACCTCCCTCTCTGACTCCCTGCCTGCTTCCTCTGGCCTCCCAAGCCCTCTCTCACACCCCCGCAGGATACCAATCCCTCTCTGTCTTGGGTTTCTCTCCACCACCTCCCCACCTTAGGTACTCGCTTGCTGAGGATGGATTCAGTCCCAAGCACAGAGGTGCAGGCACAGAGCAGGGGCTTTGGGACATGTGGCCCCTCAGGCAGAAGATGATGCCTGTCCCCTCTGTCATGCTGGACCAGGTCAGGCAGGAGGAGGGGGCCATGAGGCCCAAACTGTCATAGGTCTGCGGGGGAGTCTATATGGATGTGTGGCCTCCAGTCTGCCCAAGGGCTGCCAGCCCAGAGAACCAGGCCCATTTCAGAGCTGGCTGCACTGAAGCTGAGAGGGGTGGGGGTGGGGAGGTGGGGGGGTGCCCCTGCTTGTGAACTCTGGAGGAAGTCAGGGGAGTCAGATCCCCCAGCAGAGTGCCAGAGAGGGAAGAGCCCTCTGAGATCACCCTTCAGAACCACCCCCCTCCCCCCCCCCCCCCCCCCCCCCACTTTATGGAAGAGAAAACTGAGGCCCAGAAATCAGGTGCATCATACTGAGCCTCCTGATAAGAGGGACTATGAAAGCACATTCCTAAAGGACTCAGGACACCTAGTCTAATCTTTTCACTTATAGATGGGGAAACCAAGGCCTGGAGGGAAGCAGGAGCGAGGGATGCTGACCTGCTCAAGGTTGCGATGCTAGTTAGTATCTGTCCTGTGCTTTTTCTGTGCACCAGACTGCCCCACTGTGAAGAGGGCAGCTCCTAATGCAGTGTCTGCTTGAAGACAGAGGGGCTCTGGGGGAGGGAGTGGGCAGGGAGGCTGCCCAGCCCTCTGGTGAGGAAGAATGCTGAGGCAGCAGCCACTGCTGCCCTGTCCTGCCGTGATGGTTCTACAGTTTCCCACCCTGCTCAGAGCAAGGCCAAGTTAGGAAGCTTATTTACTCCTGTGCTTTTATTTGTTCATCTTTTATTCATTCACATCCTGTCAGTGTATATTGTTGACATTACAAATCATATGTATTCCCACACTCCCCCTTAAGGGAAAGTCCCAAGAATACAGATTGTTTCCAAGCTGTGAAAATGTTGGTGGCAGCAGCACTATGTCTACACCCCACCTTGGCCTCCCAACGGGGCTGCAGAAAGCCCTCATTATGCCAAGCTGAGGGCTGAGACCACCTAGACCCCCCCAAGCACCCACTCAATGCAGCATGTACAATAGAGGGAGCATGAGAAGGAGGAGTAATGAAAGAGAGTGGGGGGTCTGCAGGGAAACCTGAGGGTGGCATTTTCCCCCTACCTCCTTCCTGAGCTGGCCAGGCAGGGCTGGGTGGGGCACCATCTGAGGGGAGTGAGCCGAATCCATGCTAGTCTACAGGAAAGCCTCAAGCCACCAAAGAGGTAGAGTGCAAATGCCAAGACCAAAGGAGAAGAAGCAGATTTATGAAGTAGAGATGGAGCCAAGCATTGGTAACCTGGTGGGGTATGGCATTTGAGCAGAAGCAAGTCAGGAGAAAATGCAGCAGGCCAAGGAAGGGCCTGGTGGGCAGTCACAGTCTGCATTTATAGACGACTTAAGTGGAGTGGGAGGGCTGGAGTTCTGGCCAGACTGCGATTTAAAGAACTGGGCTGAGCTGATGTATCCTGCAGCTGTGAGATGGAATGAAGGGAAACTAGTACATGAATCTCTGAGCAGGGAAAAAAAAAATCATTATTTTAATTGCATATCAAAATCTTTGGATATGTCTAAAGCTATACTCAGAGGAAGAGTCATAGTCTCAAATAACTGTTAGACAAGATAAGTAACTAATAGCTAGCACAACAAGCAAACTCCAAAATTGCAGAGGCTTACCACAACAAAGGTTACTTCTTGTTCATGCTACATGCCTGTTTCACATCATCACTTAGGGCTGCAGGCTGGTGGAGGATCTTCTGCCTTGTAGCTGGGCCATCTGGAACACGTGGCCTACAAGACTGCGCTAAAGGTGGAAGAAGGAGGAGCGGAAAAACACACTAGCTCTTAACTATCTCAGTCTAGACAAAACATACATCACTTCTGCTCACAGGCCATTGGCTAGAACTAGTCACATGGCTGAAATTAAATTTCAAGGCACGCTATGATATAAAAGGGAATAGCACATATGTAGCCGGTGAGCACTGTCTCAGCCACACATTAAACAGTAGACAAGAAACAACGAAAATAAGTGACTTAAAGCATGCAACTAAAGAAACTAGGAAAAAATAACAAAATCATCCTAAGAAAAGGAGCAAGAAGAAATTAATAAAGAAAATAGAAATTAATTCATTAAGAAGAATTTATTAATTAACTGCCCAATTGATGGAAAGGCTAACCTAAAAGATAAATTACGAGTCAATCAGATTGAAAAAGAAGCAAAGAAGCACAAATACACGAAACAGGGAAACAGCCACAAATATGTAGAAAATTACAATAATCATAATTTTAAAATTTCACAGCTTATGCTAATATATTTTAGAAACTGTACGAAATTATTTCTAGGAAAATGTTATTACCAAAATGGACCAAAGACGTGTTAATAATCATAGAAGATATTGAGGAAACTGTCAAAAAGAAACGATTCTCCTGTGTGCTTACACACACACGCACGCACACAGTTTCACAAATGAATTCTTTCAGACCTCTGAGGAACAAATGATTCTGGAGTTGGATTATTCCAGTGCATAAGAAGGAAAGGACACCTCCAAGTTATTTGTTACAAAGCTAGTAAAATATTGACAGCAAAACTGGACAAGGCACAAAAACTACTACAGATTAATCTCACTTTTGAATAACAAAGCAAAAATCTTAAATAAAATATTAACAAATAGAACTTAGCAGCATACTTTTAGATAGTACATAATTGCCAAGTGAAATTCATACCAGAAATGCAAGGGTGATTTAAAATTAGGAAGTATAATTTACCATATTAATACACCTAGACATATGTTCTCAGACAAAAAGTTAGCATCACGTTTAAGGTTGAAACATTAGAATCATTTCTACCAACATCAGGAATAAGATCAGAATGACTCTAACTTACTATTGCGTAACACTGTTGTGCAGTTATTGACCAATATAAATAGACAAGAGAAATAAATACAAGACATAAAGTTGGAAAGAAGAGGTAAAATTATGATTATTTTTAAGTTATATGAAAAATCCTAACAATTCAATGGAAACAGCAAATGGTAAACAACAATTAGAAAATCAATATATAAAGTCATATTTTTCCTATACGAAAAATAGCTAGTTAAAAAAACAATATAGGAACAAAATTCACATTCACAATAGGAACAAAAACAGAAGTACATTTAAGAGAAAGTGTTCAGAACCTATAAACTTCTCCTAAAGAATTAAAAGACTAGGATAAATGAAGACACAATTGGTGTTTGGCTGGGAAAATTCGATTTTATAAAGATAGTAATCATCAATAAATTGATCTATACATTAATCGTGATACCAATTCTATCAATCAGCTCAGAAAGTGATTCTAAAGTTAATCTAGAAAAATATATTTGCAAGAATAGGTAGTAAAATTCTGGCTAAGAGAAATGATAATGAATCAGCTTTGCCAGATAACAGAACATATGATAAAGCTTTGGTAAATAAAACAGTACACTCCTGACACAACAGACTGATCATTGGCACAGAATGGGGAGTCCAGAGAGAAATCAAAACATATACGTGAATTTACTATAAGGGTAGCATTTTGAATCAATGATTAAAAGACTGGTTATTCAATAAATGGTGCTGACTCACTAGCCAGTCTTTTTTAGGGGGCAGACGGAGGAGGAGGAGGAGAAGCAGCGGGATTCCTGCCTCGCTCATTTGGCAAAGTAAATTCCAGATGGATCTAATATAAATGTGGAGAACAGGATCATAAAAGTGCCAAGAGAAGATACTGATGGATGCTTTTCAAATTCTTAAAGTGAAGAAAGCTTTCTTAAGCATAAAACAGAACCCCAAAACCTTAAAAGAAAAGGCTAACAAGTTAGGCTGCAAACAAGGCAAAATCTTCTCTTTGACAAAAATCTGCCATAAATTGAAGACAAAAGGGAAAAGCTATCTGCCATACATTTGACAGGCAAATTAGGCACTCCTCTTAGTTCCACGGCAGGAGAGGAACAGAAGAGAAGAATGATGAGATGAGGAAGAACAAGAAGGGAAGAAGATGGAAGGAATCAAGAAAGAGGAGAGGGCAGATAGAAAGAGAAAACCTATCTCCTTTGGGGGAAAGTTGCTTCCCCTGGATTAAGCCCCCCTCTCCAGTCCACTCCTGGAAGACTGTGTGGTCGGCTCTTCCCTGCAGACAGGGATGTCCTCACACCTGGTGACTGTGGCAAGATTGCTGATCACAGGAGGAACTGACTGATCACTCAGAAAAGGCTGCCAACTCCTGGCCTAGGAAAGTAGCTTAGACCTGGGCCAGTTATACCTCATCATCGGGAAGCCCACGAGACCTTCACAGGGCAGAGGCGACTGCCTTTAAGCAAGCTAGGTAGCTTCTTATGGGTGCTAAGATATTCCTAGACTGCACCTTTGAAGACCAGTGGGGGTGTTTTTTGCATTTTTTTCACAGCAGAACCCTTTTGCTTTTCAAATGAAACCTACAAGGAAACCCAATATATAAGCAGATTGTAGCAGTATTTTATTAGCATAACTATATTTATCTTCAAATTTAAAACATTTGCTTATTATAAAGTAAAAAATAATCTAAAGTTGGCAGCATAAAGGAATTTTACATTTTACTTTTCTTGTTCAAAACACACCATAAATAAGAAACACATGAAAAAATAGAGGTAAGAAATACCACTTTCATTGAAACAAAGAAACAGCCACAATCCCAACCTATCAGCTATGAATCATACCTGACAAAGGCTATGAATAATCTGGGACAAAATGAGGGGGGGACTCTCAAAGATAGACATATCTCAAACTTCCAGCAGGATATTGTTTTCCTGCGTTGTCACAGCAGATAACAATATTTTGAACATCCAATCCAATACACCTTCAATCACCAATGGACGCAACCTTGGCCACACATTCCAATCCTTTAGCAGATATTTTAGTTAATACTAATGCCCAAGTCCCATCATACGCCAATTAATTCAGAATTTCAGGAAATGGGGTCCAGACATCAGCATTTTTTAAAGTTCCCAGATGATTCTAATGTACAGCCAGGGTATGAGAGCAACGAGATCCTGGGACATGGACAGGTCACAGTAGAAGGACTGTCTACTGAGATACTAGTTTGACATGGAAGAAGAGCAGGATAGATGAGCTGGATGGAGAAATGATGCCAACATACACTTATCACTGTCTACTACTTAGACTCCCAGCCCGAGGTGAAGTGGTATGGAGGAGGAGCTTAAATGGGGATCATGAGATCACAATACAGAGAATCTGACTTTAGGATCTGTTCTGTAAGCCTTGTGGATCTCTTGAAAGCGGGAAACTGATGGAAGACAGGCACCCAGAGCAGGAGAAACAATGTTGCCGAGAGGTGGTTTGCCACCACTCGCTGGAATTAAAGCTGTGAGTTGTCTTCGCTCACTTTTCTCTCTCCTCTTTCCACACTATTAAACAAACAGCCCACTCCCTTGTAAGCTGAGATCCAAGCATCTGGAAGTCAGACAGGACCTTAGCAAAGGGTAGGCAGTGAGGACCCTAAGGAAAGGAACATAAACAGAAAAGCAGATGAAGGACGTACATTTCAAGAGGAATTAAACAAAGGAAGAATTCAGACAAATAACCTTCCACAGCCTTTATTAAATTATACATCGTATGATCTCTCTTTCTAAAGAAAAGTACAGAGAAGAGACACAAGATGTAGAGAAGAGCTTGTAGGACAGCAAAATGAAATAGATAATAAGCTGGCAAAAGAGAATAAATGGAAGCAAAAAAAAAAAAAAAAAAGAGAATATTATAGAGAGTGACCTCACATTAGAAGCAACAAATAACAGGGAAAAAAATGAGTGAAAATATAGCCAGAGTCCTCATGATCAGAATTAAGGAAATCACACAGGATAAATGGAACAAGAACAAAAATAGAAGCATGATTATGAAGAAGTTGATAGATAAGGAAGACTAAAGAAATCCAATATATATAAGTGGTGTTTCTTAAGATGAGAATGTCCTCAAATAAAATAAAAACTACCAATTTATCTATGTTTCACACATTTATCTTTTTTTTCCTATATCTGTTTATCTGCACAGAGATTCCTGAACTGATGCTCATCGAGTTAGAATGCTTGTTTCCAGGTAGTAGAGTTTGGGAATGAATATTAGTTTTCTTCCTTGTATCCTGTATTGTTTCTTATAATAAACATATATTAGTTTCATAAAATCAAAATCATTATCTTTAAAAAAGAAAGTCAAACAATGAAAACAACCAATGCTTTTGCAATGTCAAGAATTAAAAGTGACTGTATACAAAAATTAACTCAAAATGGCTAATAGACCTAAAGGTAAAACATAAAACCATAAAGCTCATAGAAGAAAGCATAGAAGAAAATCTATCCTAGATAAGACACTAAAAGCACAATCCATAAAATAAAATATTGATAAATTGGACTTCATCAAAATTAGCAACTTGTGTTCTTTGAAGGGTACTGTTAAGAGGATAAAAAGATTAGCCACAGATTGGGAGAAAATATTTGCAAATCATATACCAGATGAATGACATGTATCCAGTATATATAAAGAACTCTCAAAACTCAACAACAAGAAAACAACCCAATTGTTTAAATGATAAAAGGTTTAAATAGACACTTCACCAAAAAAGGTACACAGACGACAAATAAGCCCATAAAAAGGTGCTCAACATCACTAGTTATTAGATAAATACAAATTAAAACCACAATGACACACCAGTATACCACATTAGAATGGCTAAAATTAGAAAACAAAATCTGGGGCTGGCCCAGTGGTGTAGTGGTTAAGTTTGCAGGTTCCACTTCCGTGGTCCAGGGTTCACAGGTTTGGATCCTGGATGCCGACCTACACACCACTCATTAAGCCATGCTGTGGTGGCATCCCACATACAAAATAGAGGAAGATTGGCATAGATGTTAGCTCAAGGACAATCTTCCTCAAGTAAAAAGAGGAAGATTGGGAACAGATGTCAGCTTAGGGCCAATCTTCCTCATAAAAAAAAACAACAAAAATAAAAACCAAAAAAATCCCACAAAATCTGACAATATCAGCTGCTGAGGAGGATGTAGAGCAACCCGAACTCTCACGCACTCCAGTAGAAATGCAAAATGATACAGGCCTCTGGAAAACACAGTGTGGCAGTTTCTTAAAAAGTGAAACATACATTTACCTATGTCCCTAGAATCCCATTTCTTTGTATTTATTCTGGAGAAATGAAAACCCATGTTCACACGAAAACCTGTATGTAAATGTTTATAGCAATATCTCATAATCACCCAAAACTGGAAATGACCCAAATGTCCTTCAGCAGCTGAATAGATAAACTGTGCTAAAGCCACACAACAGAATGCCACTCAGCAATAAAAAGCAATGAACTATTGATACACACAACAACTTGGATGAATCTCAAATGCATTTTGCTAAGTGAAAGAACCCAGTCTCAAAAGATTACATACTGTTTGATTCCCTTCATAAGACATTCTTGAAAAGGCAAAAAGATATAAACAGAAAACAGATCAGTGCTTGCCAGGGCTGGGGGTAGCGGGAGGATCCGAAGACAAAGCACGTGGGAATTCTCTGGGATGCTGGAATTGTTCTGTATCCTGTGTGAGGCGGCAGTTATAAAAATCTACGCACGTGTAAAAACTCATAGAAAAAAGTGAATTTTACATTTGTAAATTTAACAACTTAAAAAAAAATCCCCAGTGAACATTCAGCTTTCCACATTCTAAACCTTGATGTGAACGAACAGCCGTTATCAACCCGGAAAGTGGGGGAGGGGCCATAGAATAATGCTTGGATCTACAGGTTGCCAAGACTTTATGAGGACACGAGACTCTAGCCTTCTGGTGACACTAGTTTATTTATTCACACAGCTGCGTCAGTTTCATAAGGAAAACCAAAAATTAAAACAAGACCACCCTAAGTATCACAAATACAAAATAATTACCATTTCAAAAAAAATATTGAAAGCAAAGGCTATTGAGGAGTTTCTGCTACTTAACAGTTCTGGCATGCAATTCATTTCTGCCTTTTGCTTTGGTCACATAGCATGGAGAACATTTTGATACCCAGAGAAAGGTAGAGAAAAAATTTTAAGTTCACCTTGCAACCTCAGGAATATCTTCAATTAACCTATTTCAGAAGCCTGAAAGAGAACAATAGAAAACTGTTACTATTTTTCCCAATAGAGCATCACTAAAGTTCTCTAACTGCTTGCATTCTTATTAAGTAAACTATCATCACAAATAAAGAACTTCAAATTTGTAATATTTTCTGGACACGTTTATAAGAGATACAAATATACTTCTAGAGGTGGCAGAAGAAGCTTTATTCTTAGGCTCTACTTTTTAAAAAATGAGTTAACCTGAGAGTACTCATTAATACATCAAGAATAGTCAATGTATTCAAATTTAATATATATTGCATTTGCGTATGTGTTTTATTCTTAAAATAGTTAAAAATATACTTGAAAATAAAATTAAGAACAAACCTTGAAGGAAGCCTTGCAGCGTTTGAATTTCTACAGAACACCATTTAAACACCACCCAGCTACAGTACAATAAACACCATCTAAGCTGAACAGGAGAATGCGGATGATCAATCGTTCAGCGCAAATCTGTTCTCACTTCATTTACCCAATTGCGGTTTTCAGCTGCTATACAACATGCATGTAAACTTATTTCCAGTCAGTTTAGGAGCCTTTTAAAAGCACTTTATCTATAGAATCTAGATGTGGTCATCTTCATTCATCCATCCAAAGAATATTTATTGAAGTGTACCATGTGCCAGGCACTGTTCTAGGCACTGGGGACAGAAAAGTGAGCAAAATGGATCAAACTCCCTGTCCTCATGCAGCTTATCCTCTAGAGGGGAGAGGAGAGAAAGGAAAGTAATAAGCTGGAGGAGATAAGTGTTGCTGCGGACTGAACGTTTGTGTCCCCGGGAACTTTGTATGTTGAAACTTAATCCCCAATGGGATGGTATTTGGAAGTGGCATTTCTGCAAGGTGATTGTCATGAGGGTGATGAGGTTCATGAGTGGGATTAGCACCCTTATAAATGAGACCCCACAGAGCTCCTTGCCTCTTCTGCCATGTGAGGACACAGGGAAAGGATGGCCTCCATGAAACAGGAAGCAGGCTTTCACCAGACTCCAAACCTGCTGGCGCCCTGATCCCTGACTTACAGCCTCCAGAACTGCGACAAAGAAATTTCTGTTGTTGATAAACCACGCAGTCTATGGTGCTTTGTTAGAGCTGCCTGAACTGGTTAAGATAGGTGCCATGGAGGAAAATAAAGCAGAGCAGGAAGATAAGGAGTGTTTTCCTTAAATAGGTTGGCCAGGGAAGGTCATGACAAAGGCGATGTTTGAGCAAAGACTTGAAAGGAAGTGAGGGGTTGAGTCATGCAGATGCTTGGGGCAAGAGCACCCATTCAAGGCAGAGGGCACAAGTGCAAGGGCTCAGGGTGGTGCTGCCCAGGCATGTGTGAGTGAGAACAAGGAGGCCAATGTGGCCTGGGCTGGAGGCAAAGAGATGTCACAGGAGATGTGCTCAGATAGGCAAAGATATTTACAAACTCTGGTTGCTTGGGGACCCCTAACCACATCATAGCAGGATCCAACCCTTCTCTCTGCCCCTTTCCCTTCAAGGATCACTGTTTTCCAGTGCGTTTGGGAAAAACAGCCTTTGTCTCAAGTGCCTTCTTGACCAGACACGCTGCAGCCTGCTTCTCTGCTTTCACCTGGCCACCTGGCAGCACCCCCGTCACACTGTTTCTGGTCGCCTTGGCTGTTAGGATTAGCCTTCTCTACTGATTCAATGCTGCTACCTCTGCCCTGGTCTTATAAAACGAGAGTTCCTTGCTCCAAGTGGGAACCAGTCCCCCCTTTATTCTCTAGCACTAATGACACAGCCCATTGAGTGTCACAGACTTTTCTAAAGCCTTGAAGAAACCATAAGAGGAGTTCAGTGCAGAAAGAAAACCTAGATATCACCTTACTAAAACCACAGCCCATCAGGCATCTGCCGTCCCAGGGAGCTCTTTCCTGGCTGCTGCTCTGTTAGGCTCATCTCCTCCACAGTCATAGGCCTTCAAACCCTGCCCTCTCTTCCCCAGTCACTAGGCTGTCAAATTCCTGTCTCTGGGCCACCAGAAGTAGTCCCGAATTTTACAACATAACAACCTCTCATTGAAGGAAAACATTGCTTTAATTTATTCTAAAAAGCCCCTTAGTCCTCAGTATCTCAATCCCTAGTCAGTCCAGATGACCCCGTGGGCCTTGCCTTTGCCTACCAGAAGATTCATGGGAGCATTTTCCCTGTGCCAAGACCAAGTCCTATACCATTCCTACAAGGCAGAAATATCCACTGGCAACTTTTCTAAAAATGGCAACATTTTACTTCAATGATGTTTGATACAATTAAAAACTATTTCGTGTTAAGGAAAACATAAGGCAAGAGGCACATTACTAAAATGTTTTCATTTCCCTTAAAATCAGACGGAAAAATGGATTTTTAGGTAGAAAATGTCTTAATATATAATATTAACACGTTGTCTTCATATAAACGCAGTCGTAAAATATTTTAAATACGTTTTCTGGAGGATGGGGCCCATCAAGGCAAAAACACCTAAGCCCATGACAATCCTAATGCGGCCCTGCAGCCAGTCAGAACATGCCATGACTTGAAGCTGACTGGGGCATGCACGCTGATCAGTTTGTCTATGCCATTCAGATTTGTAACAAAATTATAGCAGTAACAAAATTACAGCAAAACCAACTTGACCCTTAAGCAAAATAGAATAATATTTAATTGCTCATTGTTAGTAATCAAGAAGAAGACAGTAAAGCTATAGTTACTGATTGCCTAAACATCTCCCAGTAAGAAAGTGGGCACCAACCCAATCAAGTTACAAAAAAAAGACAAAAGGGAGGAAATTAGGTAGAATTAATCTGACTTCTTTTGTGATTGTTTTCTAGGCTCTAGGTCTTTGGTCCATGGGCCCTTCTGGAAGCAGGTCAGACACTGAATAATAACAATATGCACTTAATAATAATAGTAGTAGTGATGGTAGCAGCATTCAATCTGAGGCAAGCTCTATTCTAAATGCTTTGCATGCAAACTCACTTATCCTTTGCAAGAGTCATGATACTTTCAGTTGCAAGAGAGAGAAATCCAACTCAAGCAAGCTTAACACAGGCAAAACAAGGGGAGGGAACATGTTGGCTCACATGGCTGGGAAGAGTTCAGGGCAGCTCACAGAATCAGAGGAGGAGCGGGAGCCAGGAGAGTCTTGGGGATGGAACCAGGATTCAGCACCACCAGGCTCCCTCCCCATCCACCTCATTTCTGCTTGTTTCTGCTGGCTTCACTTTCTCCTCCTTCAGACAGGCCCATTCCATATACTGGAGAAAATAGTTGCCTGGAAACCCAAATCTTGCCCGTTTTAGTTTGGGCTCCCCCAAAGCAGACTCTAAGGCAAGAGTTTGGGTGCACTGCTCTATTTGGAAGACGACTTCAACAAGAACGATGGAAGAGGTGGGGAAGCGAGACAAGGAAGGAGAGGAAGCCCCAAAACGGGTGTGTTGATGAGTGGGTTATAGCTGGAGCACGTAGAGCTTAACACCACTAGGACGCCTCAGAAAGAAGGTGCAGAGAAGCCCTCAGGTCGTCCGCCTGAAGAGCTAGGAGGCTGAAGTATTTACCTACCAGCTTCTCTCTCTCGTTGTTTGAGAGTCACTCTGGGTGTGACAGCTCTGCAGAAGGCCCCTCTTGCTCCCCAGGTCAGAGAACCACCTTATGCAGACACACAGGACCCCAACTTGTGCACAGTAACTGTGTGCAGGTGACCTCAAGGGTGGACCAATGGGTATGGGTGGTGTACCTATAACATCCACTACAACTCTTTGCAGCACCGTGGCCCTGAATGTAGTATGCAGAGGCTTCTCCTCCAGCTGGGGCCCACTGAGGCAAAGGCGCCTAAGGCCTATGACATCCTAATGTGGCCCTGCAGCCAGCAAGCCCCCTGAGGGACCCTGATCCAGCAGGTTTAGGTCAAATGTGCACCACAGGGCAATCACAGGTCCAGGGGAGCAGCTTGATCTGTTGGAATAGAAAAGGTTCCCCTAGTTCTTTCCTCCACTTTCTTCAGTAACTAGAACCTTTATTCACTACGTAAGTACTGATGGTAAGGAGAAAGGAACTGATGGACACAAAATTGCCTGCTTTTCCAGTTTTTGCCAACTTGATCCCCCCACAGAAAGAAAACAGTCGTTATCAAAAAGCCAATTGTCATTCTGTCTCTTTAGAAAAATTTCCATTAAAGATCAAGCAAATTTTAATTAGATTAAGTATCCAATTACTGTAATTACATTTTTAAAAAATTCACATCATGAAGATGACCCTTTTTAAAAGGGTTACAGGAATAATTAGTGTATTCATATTAACCAAAATGTATTGGATAATATTTATACCCAGAAGACAAAGTACATTACACACATTTCACCTTTGGGGAAAGCTTGCAAATGTTTTGGCAGTGGCATGAATATTTATAGGCAAGAGTGTGCTTTAGCAAGATTATGTGAGGGAGCATTTAAATGCTCACCAATTTTTACCCAGGGGTAAAGTATACAGAAAATGTAGTGCAGAGATTATGGATATGCAAAGTGTGACTTAAGAGGGGAATTTCTATCCGTTTGCTTAATTAATTGGACCCAAAGTCTATTTCTTCTCATTCAAGGCAGAAAGGCCCAAGGTATCCAACTGTGACTTCTCTCTGCTCTGTGTCTGCCAGGGGCAGGGGCCAGTGAGGAGAGTTGGTAGGAAGGCAGTAAGGACATTCTCATCTCGACCACTCACCACCAGGAAGCCTGGGTCCTCATACCCTGACCTTTACCCACCCAGGCCCAGGTGGATAAAGCTTTAGGGTGAGGAATATGGGCCTTCTAGAGGCTTTCTCCCTATAGGTTTTCCTCTGAAATTGTCTTTCCTTTTCTGATTCCAATTTTCCTCCTTCCGACCTGCCTTTGAGCTGCAGCTACTGCTGCTGTTTCAGGCTCACACACAATTGCCTTCCAGGCTCCATCACATTTGCTAGCTCAGGGGAGGGAAGCAGCAGAGCCTCCATTTCACAGGTGAGTAAACTG